GATTCCTTGGAGACACTTATATGATCGATTATTTCTCGATCGTACATGAAGATACATGGATATTACGTAATGTGATAACTGGAGACGGTAACAGGTAATCAAAAGCCAAATTGTCATCGTCACGTGATATAGTGCATGTGCTCACGAATTGATTTTTAAGTAATTCTACTTTTTCAACGTTGTTGTATACCCATTCTGATTCCTCGTTCTTTATGCTCGGAATGTTAAAGGACGCTCTCCTTCCCATCGATGATTCCAGCAGTTTCTACCAACCTCTGATACTTTTTTTGAATGTTATTAATTAGATTAAAATACAGTAATTTGTCTTCCGCACACTCATTTTTAAATACGTTAGTAATTTTCTGATAATTTCCTTTTTAATATTAATTAGAATGTCATTATCACTATTCCTAACACGCTTCAGTATCGTGTATAATCTGTGTATTTTAACGTAAAGGTATCTCAAATTTTCTGTAAATCACATTTTGTCACGTTCGCTTAATCTGATGGTTTTAGAAGGTGTTTTTATTATTTTTTACACACTTTATATGCTCTTGCTAATCTTACACGAGAACAATAAATTGAATATTAAAAAGAAATAATAAATTCTCGGAGACTCTCGAATGATGTGAAGGTGATCGTAATATTGACACTTCATGTCCCGCCTCATCCTTGATTAAAGGAAAGACCCACATATGTGCTCAAAAGCTTTGTTTCTTCTGTAATTAATGGCTCTGCAATTTTGATATAAGACTGTCTAGTAGGAAGAATGGAAGGTCCACAAAACGTTTCCCAACTAGGTTTTGGTGCTTCGTTAGCTAACTGTATGTTCTTCTGTCGTGAACAGCCGAATGCGGTTTCAGGACGCTTATCCGAAATTATCGTATATTAACTCATTGAATGGTGTATTTCTACGATAGTTTTCAAGATCCGAGATTAGAGGCGGCGTCTTTCTTGTACACTCTTCTCGCGGTTTTTCTCTTTTCTGCGTGGTGGCATTGTATTTACAAGCCTTTGGGGTTTTTGTGGCTTCCTTTGTTACGAGTTGTTTTCTTGGGCATAAAATAAACTTTCAAATTCAAGTTAAAGGCTCACGTTATTTACAGTTTCATAGTTCTTCTGGGAAAAAGAAGTCAATGAATCAAAATAAAATGATATAATTACTTTTATATTATAATTCTACTGTTGATGTTCATCGGTCTTTCCTCTCTCTTTGAAACGGAAAAAGAGATATGTTTGCGTGTCTATGGACAAAAGACATTATAATTTTTTTGTTTCCTCTTTTTTTCTGATGATTATAATAATTATAATAGGATACAAATGATAAGAAAAATAGGACACATAATTTTCTTTCTCTTTTACTTTTTTTAAATTATTAACTGGTTACAAACAACTTAAACAAGAATGTTGTCTACGAGTGATATCCCGTATCTTCTGTTTGATTTTCTAACAATCGTAACAAGTTTTATTGGTTTAATTTTATCAACATTAATTGCTCTAATTATTATCTATAATCGACAATTAAGACAAAATATTTCAATATTATTAATTTGTAACTCATGCATAATTGCTGCCTTTCTATCATTTATGGTACTTACAATGTATACATACAGTTTCTATTACGATTTTAAACGTACGTTAGTTACTATTTATAATAACTATGCTGGTAAAGCGAAAGACTATCACTCTGTTCATAAACAAAAGACGGATTTGTGAAATTCGAATAACGTTTGATAGAAACGTGCTAAAATTGTTCTGATTTCAGTTTCAGGTAGAGGAGACTTTGCTCTATCAGAATATTATTGTTTCAATAGTATCAACTCACACCAACCTTACAGAATGTTCGATTTCCTCATTTTTCATCGATTTTTTGCGCAAATAGCTTAATTGTATAAAGCCGTTTTTATCAAAAACTTTTGACGATAAAATTTTTATTATTTAAGTTTTACTAGATTATCAAGTATACATTTTCGAATGCAGACGATTTCAGCGCTAAATGGACGATCTTTCCTGATATTTATATTGTTTGACCATATTTTCCATCAAAACTGGGACTTAAAGATGAACGTTTTTCTGCCGGTTCTTGTGACTGAAAATCTCTGAAACTATAATATTCTGCTAGAATTAAGTGTCTTCCATCTAAAACTGAAATCAGAACAATTACAGTAGCACGTTCCTATCAAAAACTCTTCAGTTTGCACAAATCCGCTTTTTATTTTTGAATAGATTGTAACCCCAATACTGGTAATACAGTAAAAAACTAGTAGACATTTATCACTGTGTTAATTAATATCGTATTGCGCGGATAGCCGGCGACTTTCGAGTATTATCAGAATGGCTAACGAGAGAAATTTATAAGATATCACCTTCCGGTTTCAACGATATATATTATGATTATGTCCGTGGATAGAGGACACTGAGTTCATAAAAATCCCTAGGTCATTTGCTACCATGGTGTTTTGTTCGAAAAGTTCGAAAAGTTTTTGTATATCTTTCTCTTTAGAGAGAGAAACACGGAAACCTCAAACACTTTATGATTGAACCCATTATTATTTATTCTATGATCAAACATTTGTTAATGACAGAAAAGATGCTCATTATAAATCCTTTAACAATAATTCACTAAGAAAAAACGTTTTATTTTTCTTTCTTGTTCTATGCACAACTTGTTCATGCGTAATACCGTTACTTTTTTTTCCACACTATTTCTTGATTTTCACAACAACGAGATACGATAGATGAGTCGTTCTAGCGTCAGTTTTTATGTTGTTATTAGTCCAATTTATGGTAAAAGAATGAGCGAAATCGGTTTTGAAACTCAGTTTGTGCATGCAAGAATAGAAGCGGAACGTTGTACGAAAAAGGCCCAAAAGTTTAAGATAACTGAAGAAATTTGAAAACATTCTTCGAAAATAAAGTGTGGAAAATTTTTCTCCTCAATCTACTTTCTAGCTTAGCTAACTGACTGGTCCGATGATAAGAAAACTTTTTTTCTGAACTATATTCTGGAAGCCTGAAAAACTTCTTTTCCTAACGTCCATTTTTTAGACTTCAGAAATAGTTGTTTATAGTAAAAAATGAACCAGCTTTTCAAGTCGGTCCTGAAAATCGGTTCAAACGCCCTCTTTCTGCCTATAAACCCATATTCAAATCCAAAAATTATAAACGTCTCCTTTTCTTGCTTCGTAATTTTTCGCTCATATCCATCCGAAATTTGCAATCAATACAAAAATCACGACGAATATACAGTTTCGAGTGCCCTACCGAATGGATGTTATTTGTATCAAAACCAGTTTGACCATTTGTCTCAAAACTCGATTTTTGAGAGCCACTAAATCGGTTTGCGAAGAATTTTTAAATACTTAAAGAATAATTATGACTTTATTTCTCACCCTGACGTGTCCGGCCTATACTAAACTTCAAAGAAAAGTTCAAGTTTGAATTATGATGCTTATCCTGTTGAAGAAACCGTACAACTTACAGATTTCTGCATCATAGCGATACGAGAAACATAACACCGTTATGTTAGGAAAAGAAGTTTTTTTAGACTTCCAGAACATAGTTCAGAAAAAAAGTTTTCTTATCAGCGGACTAGTCAGTTAGCTAAGCCAGAAAGTGGATTGGCGAGAAAAATTTTCCATACTTTATTTCGAAGAATGTTTTGTTACTAACTCGATGTCCTCCGTCGATTGATGTATAAATCACTGAAAAATCGGAGGGCTACACTGATAGAGCCTTGCTAAATCTGTCCTATTCTACTCTATGCTAATCGATTTATGTGAAGATAGTTAGTACCTTTGATATTTGAAAGGATTTATTCAGAAGAAGAAGAAGAAATAAGCAAGAAAAGTACAAATGAAAGAAAACAATAAATAGTCTTGGACGGTGTGCAGTTAATCGATGATGTTAAAACGATACGATCGTTCCGATAGAATGAATATGTGACTAGAATATGTGCTTGTGTGTCTGTTTATATATGTATTGAAGAATGAGAGAGAATGTTGTGGAATCTCTTATTTACTACCTATGAATCTCTCTCTCGAATAGTCCGATGAACAAAAAATAAGAATGAGATGATAAAAGAAGTAGAGATGAGATAGTTCCAGTTCCCACTGCTTCTAGTAACTGCTTAAAACTGGTGACCAGTAACAGTTTTTAGTAACTGTAACTGGTCACCACTTACTATTCCTTCAAATCAACATAATTTTACATCTCTAAGTGGATGTTCGTTGCTCTACAATTTCTTTTAATAGTAAAAGGCTCTTCCCATAGTATAGGAACACTCACATTAAAGGCTGTAGAATAAAGATTTTCTATACGTATAATGTTTCTATGGAAAACATAGCATTATTATCTGTGGGAACTTAACTAGATGAGTTTTAGTACGGTTTAAAACATAAGATAGATGAGCATCAACTTTTCTACATCTTAATTATGAAGAAAACGGTAACTGATCATCAGTTCTAGTTGCTAGGAATGGGAACGGAAACTGTTCCACGTCCAAAAAGGAGAATAACTGCACAGTGAAATAGAACGAAGAAAAGAAGAAAATGAAAAGGATACTGTCGCTGTTGACGGCTGACTAGATGTTAACATACATCTGTGGAGGTTCTCTCATTAGTTCGTTTTTCCTCCAGGCATTGAGAATAAGAAATACGGTCGCCATAGTTCGAAAAAATAGTGTCAAACATTATCTATCTGCCATAATCAACTTGCGACGGTCACATTCATTTTAATTCATTTTCGAAAGAAAATTCCTTTTTTTGTGATCGAATATACTGTGCCCTACGTTTATCATTTCTGAATTATTATTTGTTTCAGGACGAATTCTCCTCTTCAATCATTCTATCAATGATAATTTTAACATTAAACTATGTGAATTACGTTGTTATTTCTTTTTAACTGAGTTCTCATCACTCTATATTTCATTCGCACTGCAAGCTGTCTATCGTCTGTGTCACATTGTTTTTTATACCAAATCATATTATTATCAAAGTATAATGTTTTATTTAATATTAATCTGTGTAAATTGGATTTATGGTTTTTTGAATGTTATACCGTACTATTATGCCGAATGGTTTGAATATTTGGGTGAAGAGGAATATATGTGTTATATTAACTTTACAAATGACAAACGTTTAGCTATTGCTGCCACGATTCAATACGGCATCCCATTGGGTGCATTAGCAGTTATCTATATTTGGATATGGCATTATGTTCGAAAAAGAACACTTATTATGACACTAACAGCAAAACGTCGAATGCAAATAAAACGTAACATAGAAATGTTAGGACGTATTATTATACCTGTTTGTATTTTACTCGTACTAGCTGTACCAGGTTTTTGTTTTATTATTATGGCAGCCATAAAGAATAATGGTACAGTCTACTATTTAACTTATCGTCTTACGTTCTCTTTCGTTGGATTATCGATGATCATTATGCCAATAGCTGTTATTCTATTAACACCGAATATAAAAACAGCGCTTATATTTAACAAAAATCGAAAGTCAGTTGCATTTACTAATGCTGGCGCTGGTGGTTTGCGGCTACGTAGACAGCCACGGTATCCAGTACTACACCAGAAGGCTACAACAGCAGTAGACGAAGCACGACAGTGTATTGTTAGTAGATTATAATTATTCAGTTTACAGTTTCTTACTTATGCTCCGGAGTTAAGACAGTGAAACGTTTCCCTTTTATATTGTCTAAATTATACTACAGCTCACAAAAAAACTCTTTGATAAACCTCGACCGACTATAATCCTGATCTAACGTAAGAATAGGTATGACCACTCTTCTACTGAACTGATTCTCTTCATTTTGAACACCGTTGTAGAAATATGTAAAGCTGTAACTGTAATTATGAATTATGTATATAAGTATCTTAACACAGAACATTATAAAATACCTTATGCGGTTTAGTTTAATATGTGTGAAGTTTTTATATAAACTCGCTTTTTATGTTGTTGCTTTCCACTTTCTTCTCACTTTTTATTTGGTATAAACAAAATTTTGTTGTTTCTCTAACGATCTCAGCATCCGCACCTGGCATATAATGCCGTCGTCAAATTCGTTGTCAAATTTATTAAAAATGGTTCGATTATGCCTTCGATCACAGTCTGTGTTAAAAAGCTTACCAGGACAGACTCAGTCTCAATCCAGTCTTGTTCATCTCTGTAGCCCGCACCGTTCACGCATTTCCGGTTCAATGTCAATATACTTTACGCTAGCCGTTTCATGGATTCATGGAGCACAGGTTTTGTTTCGAATAAACCTGAATGAATTCACAGGTTGAGGCAACTATTTCGTTACTCATTTTTACGACTAATTTGACTAACTGATTAAAAAGAAATGTGAGATGGTTATGAGAGAGATAGAGAAATTTGAGTAAGCAAACAGAACTTTATCCATATGACACTGTATAAGAATAAACAATACTGAAGACATCAAGCCAATCAAAGCGTTTGGTTGAACGAATATATTGAAGAATAGAATTAAAAATTGATAGTAGGTCATCTCTACTCAATGCACGGATAGAGTGATAAAGTAGTAGTATATGCTCTAAAGTGACAGGGGAATTTATAATACCGCACATCAGAGTTGCAACCGGTGCGACGAAACCGGACCGATTGAATCAGTTGCGCCGATCGGTTTTTACCAGTTCCACACAGTTGTGCATATTCGTTCGTTTTTCATCAGGAATACATTATGCAGGTCTGCTTAGTAGATTTTTTAAGAGAAAGAAAGAGTGATAATTTTATTGAAAATGTAAATTCTACTTTTTTTATTCTTTCAATTTATTTTCAAAGAGAAAGTCATATTATTCACATGTTATTTGACATAGTGAATCTCTTCCCAAATTTCTCTAGGTATTCAGAACAAAATTTTATCCGTAACATCAATTTTATTATCTGAAGAAACTTGGTGAACTCGCCAGTTTTTATCGGTTCGAAAATTAATAGTATTTCTAGATTCTTAATAGTATTATCGGTTACAACTCTGCCACGCATCTGATGAAACATCTCATGTCGCTGTTCTTCATAATCAATACATTCTAAAAGGAAATGTTTTACTGTTTCCTTATCAGCCCCATAGCTACATGCCGAGGACTATACTAAGACATGAGTGAAAAGAGATGCATTTATTATTTACTTTTTAAATATAAATGATGAATTTACATTTAGTTTATAATATTACACTAAATTAACACCATTAATCATTACTGTTTCTGTCCATTTACTTTGATTGTATTTTTCCAAATAGTGTCGAAGTGACTTTGTGCTTGTCTAGTGTCGAAGTGACTTTGTCTTTAAAAAAACAGCCATTTTCTGTGTTGCTCGTTCATGCCTTACCTATGATATTAGACGATCCTATGAATACTTCGGCTTTATCAAAATGATTAAAATTTTAGTATAATTTAATCCATTGACCATTTGCCACACCATCTGGATAGAAAATTAAATGTACGTCGGTGCTTTCAAATCGTCAAGCAGCCATGGTGCAAATTTTTGAGACTTTTCGCTTGTAACAATTCGTGCAGTAATATTTCGATGTTTTCTTAGTTTTGAAGATAACGCATTAATAAATAATTGATCCGTCATCAAATAAACTGCTGCCATAGTGAAGAATTGACTCGAATCTTATTAAGATCTTAGTACGATTTCGTATACATTTTTCTAAGATCTTAGACAAATGTAAGCGAAATTTCACTAAGGTTTCAATAAGATTATTCTAACGAGGGAAGACCACCAACTGCCTCCTCGCTTTTGAGCTTAAACTCAGTTGACAATAGGTAATCGAACGTGCTGATTCCGAATATCACAATGGTTTTTGCCCGCTTTCGATTTAAAGACCCG